CTTTTATCATCATTTGATACTAACCCATTATGATGTATTATTATAGGTTATTCAGCACAAAATCAATGAACTGCAGGTGTCGTCCTTCTGGAGTACGAGAAGTCCTTGATAAGGTTCGACCATCAGTGGACGCGGAAACATGGAGTAAATTGAAAGAACTAAATTTAGCTCAGTTTTTTGAACTCCCGCCGCACCCTCAAGATCATATTATGACAATGCACATAATAAATTGTTGGAATATTGATCGAATAGCATTCCACCTCGGAGGGAAAGATGTAAAATTTTATGCTGATGAGGTTGCACTCCTGATTGGCATGCCAAATAGAGGTTTCCCTGCATACTAGAGTAATGCCCCGCCAGCTAGGATGGATGCGCGACAAGTAAAGACAGCACTACTGAACTATTCAGCAGGGGAGTCCTCGAATACCTTTTTACAATTATTAATAAAGTTTTTAATGTCAAATTTACTTTTTCCCTCAAGTAACTTCAGAATGTCACAAGAGTTGTCGTCTATTTGTGAGGATATTAAATCATTTACAGTTTATAATTGGCCAGCAACTGTATGTAATTTCCTGACCGAACAACTCAATATCTGTGCCACGAAAATAAAGAAAGACCAGCCGTTGGGATACATTATTGGGTTTGTATTCCTTCTGACGGTTAGTATTATTCACATAAGTTATGAAGATTAATTTTAATATAATTAACATCATTTATTAATTAAGTACAGTTAATTATCGTATCATGTTTAATGCAGCTGTGGTTTTATGAGCATACCTCCTTAGTCCTCCCAGCAGTGCCTGAGATTAGGCCAAGAATGTTGAGGTGGCCAGTTAACGTAAAGTGGAATTTGGTTAAGATACAACTAACCTTCAAGAGGCTGACAGTCACTGAGTGAGTTAGTTATTTATTTATTTCATATACAGTCTCATTATAATTTGATAATAAATTCATTATGTTTGACTATATTTATTGCATTGCACGTTTATGATCATTTCATTGAAATAAAAGACAGCGAACATCAATTACTTGCCCCAGCTCGTGATGAAACATCCAACCCCAAAAAGCATCTCCCACAACAGGACACTCATTCCCGACCGCCATCTCCCACATTCATTCATATTTCTGATGTAGTTCCTTACCGCAGTGTTTCAGAGTCAACACATGCCCACACATATCCAGATATCAGCCCTCCTATTATTGCTCTCCAAGAAATACATGCACTGCTTAGGGAGCATCATAAATTGTTCATAGACTTCAAAGGCGAAGTTGACAGTCGTCTTACAAATATAGAAAATACAATTACAGAAATAAAAGCTGAAGTTGTTTGTTTACATAAAGTAATAGAAGAACCTGGTGGGGAATTACCATTGAAGCGGGT